CTTCTTCTTCTTCTTCTTCTTCTTCTTCTTCTTCTTCTTCTTCTTCTTCTTCTTCTTCTTCTTCTTCTTCTTCTTCTTCTTCTCTTCTTCTTCTTCTTCTTCTTTTCTTTTTCTTCTTCTTTTCTTTTTCTCCCCCCCCCCCCCCCCCAACTAAGAGACCTTCTTTACAGAAAACAGTGACAGGATGTCGTTCAGCCCTTCCCCTCTCTAGTTTTTGGGGCAAGGAGCTCAAAGCTCTTCCCCACCCCGGAAATGAGATTTATGCTCTGCCTACACAGCTTCCAACTGACCTCCTAACCCCTCCTGCCATTTCAGGATCCCTTTGAGCGAAGAAAAAGAAAAAGAAAAGAAAAAAACCACCAGCCTTCGGAGCTTGTATTGGTATGTGGGCTCGCCCACAAGCACGTGGCTTTTCTCAGGCATGGTGCTGCACCCTGCAGGTGTGGCCGCTAGGTGACACTCGGAAGCTATGAAACCAGTTGGCCCTCTACCCACCCACCCCAACAGTCTCCTGCATGGCACAGAGAGAGAGAGAGGGAAAAAAATAAACCCCCAGAGATGAGATAATTGTTGGCAGGAAAACAGCAGCTCTCCAACTGTTCTCCAAACTCTTTAGCTTCCTGTCTTTCATTTAGTTTCACCCATCCCAGCAGCTGTAGCAAAACCAAGGGGTAGTGTGTGTGTGTGTGTGTGTGTGTGTGTGTGTGTGTGTAGGGTTGGTGGGTGAGAGGAGAGGAGAGGGACTGACAGAGCTGGAGAAGTTTAGAGAGTGAGTGGGACCTGCAGCTTGGATCGGAGTCGGCCGACTGGAACAAGTAGCTGAACCCACCTCATGTCTTGCACCACTGTGGAAAGTTTACACAATTGTTATGTGTGGACCCATGATTGTAATGCCTGCCTCTTCTCTCCTAGGGACCCTCACCTAGCAGTTAGCCTCATGATGAACGCTGACTTTCAAAGGTTCGAAGGGATATTTTCACCTTTCCTTCTGTCTAAAATTTCAGGGCTGTCCAACCTGGGCAACTTGAAGACTTGTGGACTTCAACTCCCAGAGTTCTCTAGTTCTCACCCCTCCAGGCGGCATCCAAATGAGCTAAAACTTTACTCTTTCAAAGTAAACAATCTAACAAACCATAATTAACACAATTCAATTACACCATGTATGCTCCTGAATGCTCCTGAACCAATGAGGTGAAAGAATAAATGTTTCCGAATTGATCCAGAAAGGCAAAACCAAACTGATCCAAGTTAAGAATTCTGTTCAAATATCCGAACTGAAATAGTTCCATTTTTCAATGGAATTCACAATTTAAACCAGATTTTACATGAGTCACTCTGGCCAAAATAACAACCATAGGCTGTATTTGTTTTCTCCAGTTGCCGGAATATGTTCTACAATGGAAAGGATTATGCGCACAGAACCAAATAAAAGAGATTTATGCAAATAATTGCTTAAATCGGTTTTCTCCAATCTGATGTCCTTCCAAATGGGTTCAGACTGCAACTCCCATAACTCCCAGCTAATACGGCCAACAAAACCTTAATATCCAGTTAGGAAAGGCTGGTGTATAACAGAAGCTACACAGTCTTTAGGGCAATCTCATCTAGACTGTGAAAATCAACCTCACCACCGGAGGGCAGCAAATCGATTTAAAAAACAAAAAGCTTGAATGTTTTGCTGCCCTCTGGTGGTCATCTGGATTTCTGCAGCTCACATCTGATCCTTTTGTAAACTCTGCTCCAGATTATGCTACATAAAACCCCGTGAAAGTTGGCTCTTACCCAGTTCAAATTGCACAGCATTCGGAACAGGGACTCTCAGCAGCTGTGAAAGAGGTAAGAGAATGCAAGGAACAGATAAGAACGCAGTGACTGAAAATAAAGCAACTATCAATCGTGAAGACTATCTGGAGCCTTTATAAGTTCCTACTACCCTGTGAACCAGGGGAACAAGAACAAATGGTGTAAACCTGACCTAGAAGGCAAACAAAAGGACTCTGCCCCTCATTGCCAACGATCATTATTTTGGGTAGAATATTTCTTTTCAAAAGATCTTCCCAGGGTCTACTCACCCCAGTTTTGTCCAAGAAGGCATGGCAAAAATCCACAAATTGCTTCTTGGCTTCCTTGGGCCCAAGGCGGTTTAGAATGAGGTCCACATGCAGGTAACAGAGCTGCAGAGAGAGAAGATATTAAAGGAAACCCACAAAAGCTACTAAAGAGACTAAGTTTGTGTTGTTTTCTTGCAGACGTTTCATTACCCAACTAAGTAACATCATCAGTACTAGAAGAGAGTGGGATTTGCTTGCTCTCTGAACAAACAAGCGCAGAGAGCAAGCCCTGCTCCCTTTCTAGCACCGATGAGTTGGGTAAAATGTCTGCAAGAAACCACCAAGCTCAGAGACACCCCCCCCCACCCCCGGGATCCCACAGTCCTCTTCCTCCCCTTCTCCTTGTCCTCTACTCCACAAACTCCATTCCCTTCTGGTACTGATGATGTTACCTAGTTTGGTCATGAAACACCTGCAAGAAAACCAGCAAGCTCAGAGCAGCACCAAAGACCCCGCGGTTCAATCCTGAGCTAGAAATATTTTCTTCTATCACTATTGAAAAAAAAGGAGACCTCGACCTCTGGTTGAGATTTGCAAAACTTCCTCATTTGGCCCGTTTTTCTAAATTCGCCGCGATGCCAGAGGTCCAATTTGTGAAGAATGAAAGCAAAGTGTGGTAGAAGGTAGTCTGGAGTGAAGGGCTGCTTTGCAGAGGGCAAAGAGGCACCTGAGCTTGGAAAATCCAATCAGGAAGGAAGAAGGTTAAAATAGCTCCTCCTTAGTACATCTCTACTGTTTTCCAGAGTACACCTGTAGTTATGGCTGGGGAATTCTGGGAATTGCAGTCCACCCATCTTAAAATTGGAGTGTGGGGAGTGAGTTGAAAAATCGAGACAACTGGAATTGAAAATTTACCCCCTTTTAAGAGACACACTCAAGCAATCTTTAAAATAACTAGCAATAATAAACTGAGAACTCGTGGTGGGATATCGGACTTATTATGAGGTCCCAAGCAGTTTTTCTTTTTCTGTTTGCAGGTGTTTTTCCTCACACTGATGACTATGTTATGTTTGTCACCCTTGACAACAATCTCTGTTGTCCATTGCCAGTTTGACTGCCACTATATTATGTCACACCTTAATGTTACTTAAGGAGGGTGGCAGAACCATGCAATTTCCCTTCCTGTCACACTAGACTCATCCAGTCCAGCAAGAAATGCACCAGTGATTCTTCTACAGCTGTGTTTCTCAACCTTAGTAACTTTTAACAGATAACAGATAATCAGAGTTGGAAGGGGCCTTGTCGGTTATTTAGTCCAACCCCCCTGCCCAAGCAAGAGACCCTACACCATTTCTGACAAATGGCAGTCCAATCTCTTCTTGAAAGTCTCAAGTGATGGCGCTCCCACAACTTCCGAAGGCAACTTCTGTTCCATGGGTTGATTGTTCTCACTGTCAGAAAGTTTCCCCTTATTTCCAGGTTGAATCTCTCCTTGTTCAGTTCCACCCATTATTCCTTGTCTGGCCTTCAGGTGCTTTGGAAAATAGCTTGACCCCTTCCTCCTCTCTGTGGCAGCCCCTCAAATATTGGAAGACTGCTATCCTGTCTCCCCTGGTCCTTCTCTTCACTAGACTAGCCAGGCCCAATTCCTGAAACTGTTCATCGTATATTTTGGCTTCCAGTCCCCTCATCATCCCGGTTGCTCTTCTCTGTATTTTTTCTAGAGTCTCAGCATCTTTTTTACCTCAACATTTTGTCTCAACATTTTATTTTTTTACTTTAAAATGGGTGGACTTCAATTCCCAGAATTCCATAGCCAGCATTGAAATCTTGCCCTGGAACTCAATCCATGGCCCAGCCTAGCACATCAATGTGAAGAGTACCAGCATGGACAAGTGCGTCTTCAGTGCCTGTGGCACCACAATGTACGTTTAAATTTTGGAGATCTGTCTCTAGCAGCTTCAGTAGAGAGAGGGTGTGGTATTTCATGGTGGTTAGGTTCTAGGTTACAGGGTAGGTGGAGGCGGGGGGAAGTTGTGCAGAAGAGGAACAGAGTTAAGGCAGTTGCAGTAAAACAAAACAAAACACAAGGGTGTGTCAGCTCACCACAGGGCTTGAATCAAACTGCAACACCACATGCTGTATGAAAACCATCAGGTAGGCAGGATGCTTCATCAAGATCTCCAGGTTTTGGAACAAGCTGGTTTGAGTGTCCGGATGCTGGAACTGTGGAGAGAATCCAAAATAGAAAAATGAGAAATAGCTAGATAGGGTCCATAGTGCTCTCTGAGCTTGGTAGTTTTCCTGCAGACGTTTCATTACCCAACTAGATAACATCATCAGTGCTATGAAGGAGTGGCATTTGCTGTTATTTTTATATACTAGTATCTTGCCCTGGGTATATACTGTAAGTGTATAAAAATAAGAGCAAACCCCACTCTCTTTCCTGACAGTTGGAACAATTAACCAGTGAAACAACTTGCCTCCAGAAGTTGTGAATGCTCCAACAGTGGAAGTTTTAAAAAAGATGTTGGATAACCATTTATCTGAAGTGGTGTAGGGTTTCCTGCCTAGGCAGGGGGTTGGACTAGAAGACCTCCAAGGTCCCTTCCAACTCTGTTATTCTATTCTATTCTATTCTATTCTATTCTATTCTATTCTATTCTATTCTATTCTATTCTATTCTATTCTATTCTTCTAGCACTGATTAAGTTACCTATTTGGATAATGAAATGACTGCAAGAAACCCACCAAGCTCAGAAAGCACTAAGGGCCCCACAATTCAACCCTGAGCTACAAATATTCTTTTCTGTCGGTACCAGAAATAGCTTTCTTAGCCATCTTCAACACCCTTGGGAATGGGTACCATAAGGCCAGCTGTCTGTTTCTTCCATCTCCTGTTCAGATCCTTCTGTGGTTTTCATCCCGTCCAGCATTAACAAGAACTTCAAAAGAATCTCCAGGATGGATACAGGCCAGCAGCTGATCAAATCTGGCCCTTTATGCTGCATGTTCAACTCAATGCATTCAGGAAATGCTCAAGTATACACTGGAGCGGTGTTTTATCAATCTTGGCTGCTTGAAGATGGGTGGACTTCAACTCCCAGAATTCCCCAGCCAGCATGCTGGCTGGGGAATTCTGGGAGTTGAAGTCCATTCATCTTCAAGCAGCCAAGGCTGAGAAAACCAACCTAGAGTATTATGTGATTCTAGCTGGAAGAACCAATTTGGTCTAACGCAGTATTCCTCAACCTTGATGACTCCAGGGGGTATGGACTTCATTTCCCAGAATTCTCCAGCCACCATGTCTTGGAC